TTTGTAACAATTAATGGCTCAGAAAGGGGACCTCAGCCCTGGGGGCAGTGAGCCTTGAAGAGGCCTGGATGAATCAGAGTGGCTGGCTGAGGTTTCTTCTGTGGGTGTGGACCAGCCTTCTCTGTGGCTGTGTGATAGATAGTCTAGGTCTGTGCCGGATGCTCGGGTAATGTAACTCACTGTGCTGCTCTTCCGCATCCTCAGATCTGATGCTTAACCGTGTTACTGCAAACAGGGCTGCTGCACACAGTTTAGCAGAGAGGATGAGGCAGGTGCATAGAACCTAGCCCCCTACCCACTCCCCAGACAAGGGGGCATGCCTGCTATCGCCTCTGGCGCTTATGGCGGTCACAGAAGTGGTCTGTATCTTTGCATTTCTCCAGTGCCCAATATCTCTCTGAACAGAAGGACGGACCACAGATAAATACGGGTAGAGGTGATAATGTGGTGATGAAATAGATGGTCCTGGGGCTTAGTTAGGGTTTTTGGGACAAGGCTGTTTTGTGGGGCACTAGAAGCTGGTTTGAATGATTTGGGTTCTCATTAAGGTTTTACTGCTACCCAGTTATATGGCTAGGGCAAGTCACTTTCTCTCTTTGTTAATAAAGGGAGTGGATGAATTGATCTCTAAAGATCTGCAATTCTAAGCTTTCGCAGGTTGCCATTGCTCCAGCTGGATAAAGAAAGCTGACTTTGAAAAGGAAGAGACCTCTGGGTTTTTCTGGCTTGTACAGAATTGGCTCCTGGCTAAGTTCTCAGAGGGTCTTCGGATGCCCAGTCAGTTGGTCTGAGCTCCCCAGGACCTCAGGGGGCATGAATTCACACCGACAAGATCCAGCCAATGTCCCCACACCCACCACTGCCTCTCTGAGTGGAAGCCTCTTTGCATCTAATTGTCTTGGTGGATTGTATTAGCCTCCTATTGCTGCTGTAACAAATTACTATAAATTTAGTGGCTTACATCAACATAAATTTCTTATCTAATGGTTCTAGAGGTCGAAAGTCCAAAATCAGTCTCACCGGACGAAAGTAAAGGTGTCAGCAGGGCTGGTTCCTTCTGGAGGCTCTAGGGGAACATTTATTCCCTTGCCTTTTTCAGTATCTAGAGAGTGCCTGCATTTCCTTGGCTCATGGCCCCTTCTTCCATCTTCAAAGCCAGCAACACAGCATCCTCTCTCCTCTCTAACCTCTGCTTCCATCCTTACATCTTCTCTCTCTGACTCTGATCCTCCTGCCTCCATTTTATGATGCTTGTTATTACATTGGGCCTACCCAGACAATCCAGGATAATTTCACTGTCTCAAGATCCTTAATTTAATCACACCTGCAGAGTTCCCTTTACCGTGTAATTCACGGGTTCTGAGAATTAGAACGTGGATATCTTTGGGGGGAGCCATTATTCAGCCTACCACAGGGATTATCCATTCAAATTCAAAACCTAGATTCAGACAGGGAGAAGAGTATCTTTGAACTCCTGCTTTGAAGTGGGGAATTGAAGACAGTCCCCTACGTGGGTGACTCTGTACCTGCTTGCAGTTTTAGCTGTAAACAACAGCAAAATCCATTTGCTTTCTGGGTGTATTTAGGTTCTTCTCTTTGAATTATTTGAGGGCCTTTATCCACAGAAATCCTCTCAAAAGAGGTGTCCATATCTCCTTAAGCCACCATGAGCCATGCTTATCATCTTCCTTCTTTGTTCTGTTCACCCTCCAAGTGTGAGGCTGTGTGTCAGGGAAACACGAGAATCTTAAAGACATGCTCCCTTCCCTTGTGGAACTTAAGTCTAATGGAGGAGAAAGACTCATAAGCAATTAGTTTTAAAACAAGGCAGAGTGTGCTAAGTGATGTAACAGTGACAAGTCAAGGTAGTGGGAAGACAGGAGGGTGACATAGTCCTAGACCCTAGGGGTGTCAGATCATATGCCCCAATTTTTGGCTCAGAAATATGGTGGCTATACGGACCTGAATTTTAGGTTATTAACTCTTGTAGGCTAAGAATTTGAAAGCTTTTAAGGCTCTTAAAAAAAATAGGATGATGTGTCTTTTTTTGTTTATCTAAGGGTGTTTGGTTCAAAAGAGGTATCTAGTTCTCTGATGATTCATGTGAAATCACTTCTACTCAAGGTTGATTAAGGTTGGGGACAATAAGAATTTGCTAGGCAAAGTGGAAGTTGGGAAGAAAATCTGGCTAGTCTTCTTATTTCATGCTGGATCTGAATGGGTACACTTCTATAACCTCAGCCGTACCCAGAAAAGCACTGGTTTCCATAGCTGACCCACAAATACCCAGCGTGGTTGGCTTTCCTAGTTGGAAAGACAGCTCTTCCTCCAGTGTGCTTTCAGAGGTGAAGGGAAATCTCTAGCAAGAGCTCCCTCCAGCCTAGAACACAGTTTTAGAAAATACAGCTGACTTCTCTGGGAAAAACAAAAGCAACCTTGTCTTATTCTGGCCATGGAAACCAAGTTGGCACCTCATTATCGCCTTGTTAGCAAGGACAGGCTACGTTGTGGACAAACCTGGGAAGGGTTGGCCCTGTGTGAGCAGGGTTTTGAGTTAAGCTTAATTGCTCTTCTAAAGCTCAGCTACTTAATGCTACACAAGTAGAAATCTATCATCAGACTCTTGACCATCCTCCTCTTCCTTTCATATTCTCGCCTACGTAGACTATTAGCGCTTCCCCAACTCTGCTGCTGCCATGATTTGTGTCTGAGCCACACCAAGGCTTGGCTGCAACCAGCACAACCACCCAGAGGAGAAAAGTCTGTAACCACATTTAACCTTGATCCCCGCAACGCTCCAATATCTTAAAATGCAGCCAGCTTGTTCTGCCCTTGGAGCACAGCTCAGCTGCTGTCTGGGTGAAGGTAGTGTCTCTTTAATGACTTATAGAAAATTCTTGATTTCTCACAGAATGGGAGAGAGTAACCCAAAGTCATTTTAATCTGGCTCTGAAATGTGTTTTGTACTTGTACTTGAATGTGGATGTGCCTGATGTTCTGAGAACTAACTTCAATCAAAACAGTGAAGCAGCCCAAGAAGATGTACCCAGGTTGGGCTGAGAAGCTGCACACTTAACCAGCTGTGCCCCTTCGTCTTTCAAAGCCTGGCTGGGGTTTGAATCCTACTCTGTCTGGTGAGTCTGTGCTCACCAACAGTGAGTGGTCATTAAGTGGGTCACCTAATCCCTCTGGGCTTTAGGTTCTTGCCCTGCAAAGTTGGGGTGAAAATTACCTACCCCATAGGACTCATCGAGAGGACTATGAGATAACGTAGACTGAGCACTGGTCACACAGTAGTGTTGCAGTAAGTGCGAGAATCTCTCCCACTTGCCTTCCTCGCCACCTGCCTCCCACCATTCTCTCAGGCCCATGAAAAGTGTCAGCCTAACCAGAAGCTCTCTTTCCTCAAAGTGTCTCTAAAATGGGAAAGGTGTGACTTGTCCAATGATTTCCACGCCTCCCTTTTTTTCCTCACCCGTGCCTAGCCCCCAGCCTCTCTCCTTTGTTTCCTCATCATCAGACTTTTACTGTACAGAGCCTGTGACAGTGGAGACCTTGTCTAAAGTGTCCCCGCTTTGCAATTTCTGCCCCACACTTCCATAGGCATGCTGAATGTACAGCCTGGGCTGCCCACGGTAATCCCAACATCAAATGCACAGTCCCGTTCTACCCATTAACATGTCGTGGGAATTCCAGTTCATCAACATCCCAAACACATTTCCTGATTACATCCACCCCTGCCCCCCGGAAGGGGAGTTTAAAGCCCGGGAAAAGTGGTCTTACAGAAGAGCCCAGACCATAGTAACCACATATCCCAGACTTTCTGGGAAACTGTCCCCTTTCCAGACCATGCATCCTGGGTTTTGGTCCAGAAAACACCATAACCAACCAACAGAGGTCACATGAAAGGCACATGTCAGACAGAACACCCCCACAATAAGGTTCTGTGAGAGCCCACTACTGCTTACGACTCAAGTTCAGACTCCTCACTTGCAGTTTTTTTGGTTATTCCTTTTGCTAGTTGGGTTTGAGAGTGCCTTGAAGGAAGCCTGATTCTTGCTGCTTTTGGACGTGAAATGAGGATAAGGGTGAAAATGTGTTTGGCACAAACGTATACACAATTCACTATGTATGCAATTTCAAAGGCTGCTTTTTACACTTAACATTAGAGTATATGGATTTCCTCATGTGCCTAAATGTTTTTTGACTTTACCAAATCCAAGATAGTGTCTACCATTGGCAATGATGGCGGTGGGCTTGGGTAGGAAGAGCAGACACCCAAGGGGGATTTAGTGGGTTGGAATGTTTTCTATCTTAAGCTTGGTGCTGGGTACAGTTTTTTGAATGTCTTAAATATTACATAATAAAATAGAAATTTACACCAATAGTAATGGTTACTTAGCATTTCATTTAGTAGATATATCTCATAATTTACTCAGTTTAAAGCCTGCTCTCCCCCCATCATATATTTGTAATTTTCAACTTTGGACTCTTAAATAACATAGTATTATTAAACGTCTTTGGGCATCAACTTTTGTCTGCGTTTTAGCTTATTTTCTTAGGATAGGTTTACAGAATTAAATTACTGGGTCAAAGAATGTGGCTGTGAGTGCATATTGCCAGACTACTTTTTAACAAAGTTGCATGAGTTTAGATTATCATTGACATTGTGCCCATTCCACTTTCTCTCACCAGGACTGAGTGCTGTTACTAAAAAGAAAATATTTGCTATTCTGCTAGGCAAATATTTGTTTCTAATGGTTTTAGCTTGTATCTCTTTGATAACTAGTGAGATTGAAAATTCTGTCATCAAATAATTTTTCTATTGGAGTTTTTTAAAATTGATGTGTGTGTGTGAGTGCAGATTTTTGCAGACTCACACGTAGGGCCAGTGTGGGCAGCTGTTGTTTATATAGGGGGACCACAGATAAGCGAAGAAAGGGCCCCTTAACCCCCTTGGTGAAAACCAAGTGTGCATCTAGCCCTTTGTCTTCCTGCAGTGCCGCCAAGCTCCTGGACAAGAACCCCTTCTCGGTCAGTAACGCGAATCCTCTGCTGCCTTCACCTGCCAGTCTCCAACTGGCTCAACTGCAAGCCCAGCTCACCCTCCACCGGCTGAAGCTGGCACAGACAGCCGTCACCAACAACACTGCGGCCGCCACGGTCCTAAACCAGGTCCTCTCCAAAGTGGCCATGTCTCAGCCTCTCTTCAATCAGCTGAGGCATCCGTCTGTGATCAGTGCCCCCCCCAGCCACGCCGGGGTGCCCCAACACGCTGCAGCCATGCCCAGTGCCCGGTTCCCCTCGAATGCACTTGCCTTCTCTCCCCCCGGCCAGACACGAGGCCCAGGACCCTCTGTGAGCCTTCCCAGCCAGCCCCCTAATGCCATGGTGATGCATCCTTTCAGCGGGGTCATGCCTCAGACCCCCACCCAGCCAGCGGTCCTCTTGGGCCTTGGCAAGCCTGGGCCCACTCCTGCTGCAGCGGGATTCTACGAGTATGGCAAAGCCAGCTCCGGCCAGGCCTATGGCTCTGAAACGGACGGTCAGCCCAGCTTCCTGCCAGCCTCGGCCTCCACCTCGGGCAGCGTGACCTATGAAGGGCACTACAGCCACTCAGGGCAAGATGGCCAAGCTGCCTTTCCCAAGGACTTCTACGGACCCAACTCCCAAGGGTCGCATGTGGCAGGCGGATTTACAGCTGAGCAGGCCGGGGGCGTGAAAGGCGAGGTAGGTCCTCTGCTGCAGGGTCCAAGCAGCCAGTGGGAGAGCCCCCACGGCTTCTCTGGCCAAAGCAAGCCTGCTCTTACAGCAGGCCCCACCCTGTGGCCTCCACCCCCCAGCCAGCCCTATGAGCTGTATGACCCCGAGGAGCCCACCCCAGACAGGACCCCTCCTTCCTTCGGGGGTCGGCTAAACAACAGCAAACAGGGTTTCAGCGGTGCCCGGCGGCGGCGGGCCAAGGAGGAGCAGGCGATGCTGTCCGTGCGGCCCCTGCAGGCTCAGGAGCTGAATGACTTTCACGGTGTGGCCCCCCTCCACCTGCCACACATCTGTAGCATCTGCGACAAGAAGGTGTTTGATTTGAAGGTGAGTCGTCCTAAGGCAGTCTGGGAGCCACAGCTGAAGCCTGGGTGGGCTTTCCACCACAGCCCACTTCTCACTACTCATGAGCAAGGCACTGTTACATCTGGGGGATGGATAACAGAATTTTGCCATCAGTACCCTTGATTAAAATCACAGGTATTAGAACCAAAATTCATTTCAGAAATGTTTCAGGGCCAGTCCCTTGCTTTAAAGCCAGTAATAGATTCTTAGCCATGTTTATAGGTGAGAAGGCTAGAGCTGAGTTGGGGATCAAGTGATCCTACCTGGGTACAGAGAAGGGACTCAGGAACTGGGGTCTCCTGCCTCCTTGAAGAGGACTTTCCCTCTGTGCTATGCCTAGAAGCTACTCTTCCTGGAGTACATACATTGTTCTGAGTATGAAAGGGGAGAAAAAAGTTAGCAGAATTTTGATCAGGGGCAAGAGAGTAATTCTAGGTGAGACCTAGACACATTACAATAGAGGGCCTCAGCCTCCCCATCTGCAAAATGGAGATAGAGCCTCATGACACCTTCCCAGTGGTTGTAAAATGCTTTGGGTCCCTGCAAACAAAGGTCCATTATAGTGTAAATTGCCCCCTCAAATGTATTGATGATGCAGTGAAATATTGCAAAGCAATAATAATTCTAATAGTTCACATATATTATACCCTTTCTGTGTGTCATCACTAACTCTAAGAGGCGGATACTATTATTATTCTCATTTTGCAGATGAGAAAACTGAGGACCAGAGACATGAAATGACTTACCCAGGGCCCTTTAGCTAGAAAGTGGCAGAGTGGAGATCCCAGCGTGGTCTGACCCTCCCAGAGCCTGGGCCTGTCAAGCACGGGGCTGCACTGCCTCCCTTCTCTCACCCCATCCGCAGAGCATAAGAATCTCTGCTTAGTGGGAGTCACACCACAGGGTGTCATTCACCTCTTCTTGGGTCATGTGGTGCAAGTGCATCCCTGTCACTCAGGTGGGACACACCCTCTCACCTCCAGTCTCGGGAGGGGCCTGACCAACATTGGGAGGTAATGCGGGATTTTGTCTATCATAAGCCTTTTCTAAGGTTTCAACTCACTATGAATCCATCTGCCAGATTATCCCAACTGGTTATAGAAATGAGTGGGGTCTCTCTCGGGGAGGAAAGTGGGACGTGTGGTGGAACCAAGGGTGCACTGAGAGAGGAAGAGGATGGGATTTGTGCATCTGAGCCCCTGTCCAAGATGGCAGTGGATGTGCAGGTCTGGCCTATGGAGTCAGGGCTGAATGGGGAAGCAGGAGTCCGGGAGGAACCTGGGAGGGAGAGGAGGAGGACAGGGAGATGTATTTGCAAGGTTGGTCCAGCCTCTCGGCCCTCTGAGCTCCTGCCTGGCTGCGGAAGCCGGCTCTTATCCCCTGCCTTCTCATGGACTCAGTTCTCCTTGGGTCATTTTTCTTTCCTTCTGGCCTAGGACTGGGAGCTGCACGTGAAAGGGAAACTGCACACTCAGAAATGCCTGGTCTTCTCTGAAAAGTGAGTGCTGTCCGTGAGAACAGGTCCATGCATGCACTCAGCAAGTGTTCACTGCGCATCTACTGTGTGTCATGTTCTGTTCTAGGTGCTGGGGAAACAGTAGAGGACAAAACAGGCCAAATCCCTGTCCTCAAGGAGCTTACACTTAGTGGGGGTGGGCGGGGGGTGGGGGGAACAGGTGATAAAGAAAATAAACAAGTGCATTATATAGCATCCCTGGTGGTAAATGCTAAGCAGACAACAGCAGGGCAGGGCAGGAAGTATGTGTGTGTGTGTGTGTGTGTGCATGCATGCATGTGCGTGTGTGTGCATGTGCGTGCATGCGTGCATGCATGTGTGTGTGTGCACGCGTGTGTGTGTGTGTGTGCACTTTAAATAGGGTGGTCAGGGAAGGGCCTCACTGAGGACACTCAGGAGGGGATGGAATGCACCTGTGGCTGTCTTGGGGACATGCACTCCTGGCAGAGGGAATAGCAAGTTTGAAGGCCCTGGGATGCTCAGGCAACATCAGTGTGACCAGAGCAGGGTTCCAGGGTGAGGAGCCGGGGAGGTGCAAGGGCACAGATCCTGAGTGTTGGGGCTGGTTGTGAGGACTTTCGTTTTGCTGTGAGTGTGACTGGAGCATTGGAGGGCCGAGCAAAGGAGTGATGTGCTCTGGCTCCACTGAACGGGACCCTAGCTGCTGTGCCGAGAACAAAAGCGGCGGGTCAAGGGCAGACCCCCAGAAACCAGAAAGGAGGGGGCTGCGGTAATCCAGGCGAGAAAGAGGGCACATGGCCCAGGATGGAGAACACAGGACTGGGGTTAAGTGTTTCAAGATGAGCGCGTTCAAAAGGCCTCTCTTTCTTAGCATTCACAATAGCCAAGTGGTGGAAGCAAGCCAAATGTCCACCGACAGATGAATAAGTAAACAAAATGTGGTATATCCATACAGGGGAATGGCTTTAAAAAGGAAGGGAATCCTGACACACGCAACAACATGGATGAACCTTGAGGACATTATGCTAAGTGAAATAAGCCAGTCACAAAAAGACAAATATCGTATGATTCCACTTATAGGAGGTACCAAGAGTAGTCAGGTTCATAGAAAGAAAGTAGGATGGTGGTTGCTAGGGGCTGTGGGGAGGGGGAAACGGGGAGCTAGTGTTTAATAGGTACAGAGTTTCAGCAAGACGAAAAGAGTTCTGGAAATGGGTGGTGGTGATGGTTGCAAAACAATGTGAATATGCTTAATGCCACTGAACTGGACACTTAAAAATAGCTAAGATGGTGAATTTTATGTTATGTGTATTTTGCCATGATTTAAAAAATAATTTGAAAAAGGTCTCCTATTTATGGCTCCCTTGTTTTATATTGTGGTAAAATTCACATAAGACTCACCATTTTGACCATTTTAAAGTGAACGATTCAGTGGTATTTTGCACATTCACAGGGTTGTGCAAATGTTACCACAATCTAGTTCCCACACATTTTCATCACCAGCAAGGGAAACCCCATCCCCATTAAGTAGTCACCCCCCATTCCTCCCTCCCCTCCCTCATCTGCTTTCTATCTCCATGGATTTGCCCCTTCTGGACATTTCATATAAATGGAATCATTTAATACTTGGCCTTTTGTGACTGGATTTTTTCACTTAGCAAAATATTTTCAGGGTTCATCCATGTTGTAGCAGGTACAACCTTTTTATGGCTGAATAATATTCTGTTGTATGTATATACCACATTTTGTTTATCCACTCATCTTTGGATGTATGTCTGGGTTGTTTCTACCTTTTGGCTGTGGTGAATAATGCTGCTATGAACATTCACATATGAGGTTTTGTTTGAACGTCTATTTTCAACTATTTCGAGTCCTCGCCTAGGGGAGCGGGCTGTCTGGCTCACGTGTTGTTCTTTAACTTATTGAGGCCCTGGTTCCCCCTTTTCCCCCTTCTCCAGCGCCGGTGTCCGTTGTGTACTCGGTTCAGCAGAGGGAACCCTGTGTCCTTCTCCCAACAGCACAGCCGTTTATAACCCTGTTGGGAATGAAGGTGAGTAAGACGCTTCAGGTCAGCCACTTGAAGCAGGAACCAGCTCCCGAAGGCTCATTATGTCGTGTCTTGAATAACCAAACTGCCCTGATGTTCCCGCCTGATATATATCTACACAGCAAACAGATCCCAAGACACTAAAATGCACGGGCCTGCTGGCTGGGTTCTTCAACATTTTCTGACACGCTTTAGTTGTAAAGCTTGGCTGGTTATCAACATGCCCAGAGATATATTCACATTGATCACTAATTAATATGTTAAAGGACACTTTCATTGTTCTCTTCCCACTTATGTCCTAATAATGACTTTTGAAGGTACAGAAAATGCCTAGGTTTTCACCTGGCTTTGTGTAATTTATCATTTAGATTATGCCTCAAATCTTGCAACATCCTATGCGGCCGTTCCAGCAAGGCCATTTGCTCAGTCAAATCCTGCATTTCCTTCAGCTTCCCCGGGGACAAATGTGAGTACAGAAGCATTTTCTCTATTGTCCTTGTCACCATCAGAGCATTTGCATTGCCTGCTATGCCTGGTGTAGTGGTACAGAGGAGGCCGGGATGAAGCAGGTACAGACGTGGCTTTGTGCTGTGCAGGAGAACATGTCCCCAGACAGAGGTCGAGAGCTGTTCCATTCAGTCCAGCCAGTGCTGAAACACGCAGATAAAAAAGCTGACATAAATTCTTTAAGTCAAAAGCACTCAGAGGCTCTCTGGCATTGGGCACTGGTTTAGAAAAAGAAGTTTGAGCTTTTCTGTGTGTGTGTTTTTAAAGACTTCTTGATGTTTTATTGAAGTGGACTGTTTCCTATGAGAAGGTAGTTCTGAAACTTGAACCTGAAAGAGAAAATGTTTTTGAAAGTAGGGACCAGGCCCTAATGGTCTATCTGGCCCCTTGGGGAAATGGCTGCACCTGTGTAACACTTCGCTTTCAGTTGTGTTTGCGCTCCTCTCTCTCTACAACATGCACTTTAGGCCCCCAAAGCTCTAAGGCTTCCATCCCTCCTTTTTCCACCGGTTGTGACAACTCCCTTTCTCTCTTCGGTTTCCTGTTTTCCTACTGAGTGTAGCCCCTTCCCCCAGGAGCTGTTGGCTTCTCTGCTCCTCCCCTGGGAACACAAGGAAGGAGATGGGAGATGTGGAACCAACTGTAAAACAAAATGCATGTGGCTGAACCCTGCTAAAGGGCGCATCTGCGTGTTTTTGCCTGTGCCTGTGTTTTTTTCCGTTCCTGATGTGAGCAGCTGCAGCCTCTTTCTCTCTCCTCATGCAATGAGAGAGCACACGCTCACGAGAGCAGGCCGCCATGTGCTGTCCCCTCCACATGTCCCCGTGCCATGCCCTCCATGTGTCTGGGCCTTTGCGCAAAACTCGGAAAGGGTAAGCCGAGAAGAGTAGGTGTCAGGCCCTGGGGGTGAGTGAGTGGAGAGGTGAGGAGGTTCATGACAGAAGTTGAGGCCTGCCTGGGCCAAGATCTCTACTCGTTTGTGTCTGTTTGTTTGTGATGTTTAATGGGAGAAGTGCTTCCAGAGAGAGCCCCCGTCTGCAAACCCATGTTTTGGTGAAAGAGAATTTTGTCATTTCCCACTTTGTACTCTCCATGTTCAGGACCACGTCTGCTCAGTGGCCACTTGGGGTCAGTCCCAGGAGAGCAGAATGGCTGGGTTCAGTGAAGCCTGTTGTTTGTCTTTGAGGTCAGACTCCTAATTACATGGCCTTATGTCTCAATGTGGGTGCTGGCAGCTCTGGGGCCTGTTTGCCCCCACTGTGGACCATGGAGGCATCTCTGTGCCCACAACCCTGCTCTGAGACCCCAGCACTGAGGGGAAGCAGACTGTGACTGAGATGCAGGAGGCTGGATTGGGTGGCAGGTGGGCCAGGGGTCTGGGCATAGTAAAGAGAGCTGATGTCAACTGAGCCCCTATATAAAGGGGAGGGCGCTGAGTGGGGTGAGGAGAGGCCAGGGCAAGACAGCTCTCATGCTCAACCCCACCCTTGGCCAATGACCAGTGAACCAGAGGCCCTTTCCTGTGCATGCGGAGTCAAGAGACCTAATTTCAGGTCTTAGTTCTGGAACCCACCAGCTGTGTGGTCTCAGGCAAGTCACCTTACTTCTCTGAGGCTCTGTTTTCTTAAATGGGGTCCATAACACCCCTAGTAATGACTTTTGAGGGTAAAATAAATGATAGGTTTTCACCTGGCTTGTGTAATTGATAGTTTTGATTATGCCTCAGATCTTGGAACATCATATGTTGACCATGTATGATCAAAGCCAGAAGGTGGGAGCAAGGCTCAGTGTGGACCAGAGTTGTCCTGTACTTGCGAGGATCAAATAAGACTACATATGTGACCATGATTTGTGAACTGTGCAGTGCATAGGAAGTAACAATGGCTATTATTGAGTAACGAGACCCCCCCCCTTTTTTCTTTTTTTTTGGTGAGGAAGATTAGCCCTGAGCTAACATCTGCGCTAGTCTTCCTCTATTTTTTTTTTTTAAAGATTTTATTTTTTTCCTTTTTTCTCCCCAAAGTCCCCCGGTACATAGTTGTATATTCTTAGTTGTGGGTCCTTCTAGTTGTGGCATGTGGGATGCCACCTCAGCATGGTTCGATGAGCAATGCCATGTCCACGCCCAGGATTCGAACCGACGAAACACTGGGCCGCCTGCAGCGGAGCACGCAAACTTAACCACTCAGCCATGGGGCTGGTCTCCTTCCTCTATTTTTTGTATGTGGGTCACTGCCACAGCATGGCTGCTGATGAGTGGTGTAGGTCTCTGCCCAAGATCGGAACCTGTGAACCCGCCCTGCCGAAGAGGAGTGCGCAGGACTCAACCACTATGCCACAGGGCCAGCCCTGTGTAAGAAGACCTTTTAAGCCCTGTTTTGGGGTAACCTATCCTGTCAAGGCTGGCTCTGTCTGCTGGCCATGTGACTGTGGGCAAGTCTCAGTATCAGTGTTCCTCACCCACGAATCTGTCTAGTAAACCCTGTAGTCACAGCTGCCTGAATGCAGGTGTGTCTCTCTTTAGGAAAACCTGAAATACAAAAATATTGACATTTGAAGACAAGCTGAGAATTGAAGAGCTGATTAATCTGCGACTGAAAGATACTTTGCAAGTCTCCTTTAAGTAGCAGGGGAGTCCCTCAGAGAAATTATTGATTTTTTTTCTGCCTACAAATAATGACCTTCAAAAATAAACCAATAAATCAAGGAGTGATTACTCTGTTATCAAAAGATACTTTGCGAGGCTCAGATGAGGGCCAAGTGAGCAACTTTTACATACACATTTTTATTGTTTTTTCATGCATAATTTATGCTTTTTGCAAAAATTCAAATGGAAAAGAAATCTTTAATAAGGATGGTAAAATTCTCCATTAACCCCCTCCCAGTCTCCCCAGAGAACCCATGAAGGCTTTGATGCATCCTCCAGAAGTGTTTTCTGGTCCTGTGCCAGGGCTTTTTCTGTCTGATTCCACTTACATCCATCTTTTCAGAAACACATCTTGTTGAGTAAAGCCAGAACCAGCCAGAACTCCACCATTATAATAACACCATTGTTTGTGGAGCAGAGAGCACTTGCTGCTTCTAAAGCTCTGTTTTTAAGCCGGAGAACAAAGTGACACTTGGCTCCAGGAATGAGCCTTCAGAAGGTCTCTGAACTGCTACAAAACCTAAAACCACCGCGAAACCATCTACCACCTCCACCAGCCCCAGGCTTAGCTGAACTTACACTTGTCTCAATTCCGTGGGAGTGCGAGCCTTTCGTTTCCATGGTTATTGTTGACAGATATGGGACACTGAACTGACAGTTGCATGCTGTGTTTGCTGGTGGGTGAGTAATTTGTGTCTGTCCCCAGCCCCTCTCCTCCCACCACAGGGTCCCAGGAGAGAGGTGTTCACTTTCATTGAAGCTTCTGCCATCTGACAGAACAGAGGCACTTGGTCCTTGGCTGCCTGAGTCGTCATAAACAGAGTAATCAAGTTTCTGGAAGGGGCCATCGGGGCTTCTCAGGCTGTAAATAGTTTTCTTGTGCCTGCCCAGGATGCACCCTGCCTGCTGACTGGCCCCGTAAAACAGCCTTGCAGTTTTCACAGCCACCTTGGAGTTTGTTTAGTGCTGGTGCCGCCCTCCCTGGCCTGGGGTGATGCATGTCGTTTCTATGGTTTCTGTTTCACCAGGACCCTGCACACCAGAAAACTTGCATAAATAAGAAAACGGAGGCACAGGGAAACGTATATGGTTGTGGAAGGCCAGAGGTTTAGGTTGTCCCTAAAGTCAAGTCATACGTCACCCCTCAGATTGTGGGCTGTTTCTAGAGCAACTGTCCTCCCTGGCCTCAGTCCTGCTCAGAGCACTCTGGTCTCCTGATTTCCAGAGAGCTTGAAGAGTAGCAACTGATGTGGCAAACCCCCTCCCCCACCATTCCAGCTCTGGCCCTGCTCTTGTCCCCGCTGCAGGGCCCACCTTGTGCATTTTCAAAGAGCAAAGAGCAGGGCAGCAGGAGATCTAGGTGGGTTTTGTTTTCTGTTTTTTTTCTTTTCTTTTTATGAATCTGAAGTATTTTTTCTCCATGCAAAAGTAGTACAAGCATGGTGTAAAAAATTCAAACAGTAACAGAAATATAAAAAATAGAAAATCCAACGCTGCAGAGGAAACCGAAGGTAAATGTCTTTTGCTGTAACTATTTGTCTCTAGCTAGTGCACGTGTGCACATTTAATTAGAAAAACTATGGGTTTTTTTGCAAAAATGAGATAATGCCATATAATCTGTTATGCAGCTTGGTTCTTTTCACTTAAGATAAAATTGGTTTCTAGATATCTTCCCCATCCAGGCATAAAACCCTGTCTTATGTTGTAACACCCTCTATTGTTTGCATCCACCATAGTTTATCAAGTCTGAGATTGATGGACTTTTCAGTGAGGCCTGAGTTGTCATCACAAATCTACCACTACTTCATTGCCCACAGACTAAGTTCCTTACCTTCTCCCATGCGTCAGCGTCCGCATGCACAGTGATGGGTATGAACCAGATGACCTCCCTGTTTTAAGATTCCCTGACTCTAAAGTCTACAGGGATAGTGAAGTTACTCGGCAAGTGAACCACCCCAGACCCGTAGGCAAGTCGGGCACCAATAAAAGTAGATTTACTCTAAGTCAAAGCTAATATGCTTTATAAAATGTTTGAAAGTGTCAATAAAGACATCTGTGTCTATCCTCCAAGTTAAGCCAAGATCCATAGCTATGGAACCCACACCCATTTGCGATCTGCTTAATATGTTCAAAATCAACACTGTGAGGAATAAATATTTGCCCTGTGCAAACCCAGCAGAGGCCCGCAGACTGTGTGCTAGATGAAATTGGGTCACACCTAAAGGAGGTCAGGCTGGAGCACGGAAATGTCTTATTGAAGATGGAGTCTCTATCTTGTAGCTCTAGAAAGCACTTTGAGAGACTACTCTCAC